AGAGTTCAAGGCCTGCCTGGGCTGTATTGCCTGTTCAAGGCCAACCTTGACAACCTGGGGAGATCCTGTCTCAAAACAAAACAAGCAAACAAAAACATTGCCGAAGGGACAGCAGAGGAGCCTGTCCTGCTCAAATAGAAGGTTCTACCCAGGAGGTACTGGGGACAGGAGGAATGACAGTGAGTGCAAGCTCTCCAGGAGCACAGACACACAAGACAAACACAGACAGACATGCACACTGACACACACACCGGTATCCAAGCACTAGCACATGCAAACATGCAGAGGAGCACACAAAAACATATTTAGAGACACACACGAGCATTCACAGCAAGCATGTTCTCAAAAACATACATAAGCATGCATACCAATGGGGACATAGGTGTTCACACACAGACATGCAAAGAAGTGTACACACAAGACAAACATGTACACACAGGTGAGTTTTCACAGATCTACATAGCTGTGCACACACACACAGGCATATACACAAGCATGCGTGCTGACACATATAGGTTCATATTCAGGCACACAGAGACACAGGTACGTGTATATGCAGGCAATTGTACACAGAGACACACAAGTATGCATGCATAAACAAATTCTCACAGATGCACACAGACCCTGACAGGTAAGTAGGCGCGCAGGTGCAACTGAGTACAGTGTGGGCAAAAACTCTGCACCTGTGATCACACAGGCAGCTGCACAAATGCACACCCAGAAATGCACACAGCTCTCACTGACCGAGAGCCTGGGGTGTAAGCACAAGGGCCAAGGCACCTGGACCATGTGGGGTGCATAGCCCAGGCTAGGCATAGTCCCAGCTCTGACATGAGATACCTGGAGTCAGCAAGATCTGCCGTGTCTGTTTCCCAAACTTTAGACCATTTCATAATCACCAAGAGGCCTAGAAGCTTCTCCCTCCCAGCTCCCAGAGGCCTGACACACAACAGGTATTTGACAGATAAATTCTGACTGAACTGACTGCTAGAAGTCACAGTAAGAACCTACTCTGTCCGAAATCCACTACCCGTTCTCCTGGTGGCATGGTGACATAGTCCACAGACTCCATTTTCTGGTGGCTCCTACTTCCCAAGTCAATGTCCACTCGCCACGCCACCTCTCCCCACAGAGAGCTCACGCCTTCATTCCTCTTCTCAGACCACAGAGGGTCCAAGAGAAGCCCGTACCCACTTCATCCAACCAACCCCAGGAGCCTCCAAAATTGGAGTCCTGGACTGGAAATTCCTAGGAAGGTGTCTGGGACACAAAGCAAGCAGAGCCCCAACCACCTCATGACCCTCTGCTCTACAGATAGACCTGCTCCGTGCAGAAGCTGAGAGACCTTTTACTTTGGACCATCTGCCCTATAGCCCAGGGAGGGGAACAACACAATGCCGCCACACAGGGACTTTCATGGTCACAGTCTTATCAGGCCCTAACCATTAAGAGCGTGATCTGATGTGGAGCTCGTCAGACTCCGGGTCCAAGGCTTCCGTGCATGTCTGGTCCGTCCTCCCTGCCCCCCTCCCCAAGCTGTGTGTACCTCAGCCGGCCCCTGGAGCTGGTGCAAGGACCCATCACTGGGAACAACAAGTCTATCCGAATAGAGTTCAGACATTTAGGGATAGCACACACACTCACACTGCACATAGCTTTCTTCCGATTAACAGGCCAAGCCAGCCTCCATCTTCCTGGCTACCTCAGAAGGTGTGGCTGAGATGGAGTCTCACGAGCCCACTGGCATGAGAGCCCCTTCCGAATCCGAGTCCCTGAGTAGCCTCAACAGGCACCCATTGATCTGAGACTGGGTGGGCCCAATGGGTATAAATAGCAACGGAAAGTGGACTTCTAAGAGAGTTCTGGAAGAACTCACCCTGCCAGGGTCTAGCGCCTGGCTCAGTTTTCTGCGCATGCGCGCAGGATGGGGGTACCTTTCTGTCTGGCAAGGGAAAAGGGCCCAGATGGGGGATCCGACCGCCAGCCCAACGTCTGTGTGACTAAGCAGTGCAGGGGATCCTACCACCACTAAGGCTTCATGCAAAAGAAGCAGAAAGTGGGCCGGAATGAAGCTGAGGCCCACCTCGCAGACAAAGCAGTCACCCACAGGGGCAGAGCGAGAACAGGACCAGGGCAGACAGGTTGAGCTACCAGGCAAGGTATTGCTCCTCATAGGACAGCAACAGGCTGAGAGCAGACACGCCCTTCTCCAAACCGCTCTTTGTGTAAAACAAAAATACCGTGGGGCATTCCAGGGGTGGGGGCACTCCACACAGGACGCTGACTTCGTGGTAATGCCGCCTCTTTCTGAGACTTGGGAGGAGGAACAGTTCATGGGTTGTAAGTGACATGAGCCAGGCCTAAGGATGTGACAACCAGAAGGCAGCTCCCTTCTTGATCATTTCCAACCCCTGGGCCTTCTAGCTCTCTTCTATCCAGTCCCCTGCCTCAGGACCCCCATCCCTGGGGATGAAGGCATCGCATTGTACAAGTCTTCCAGCCCTCACTCTTTTCAGCCCCTCAAGTCATGATTGTGTGTGTGTGTGTGTGTGTGTGTGTGTGTGTACAGACCTTATCGCCTCAACTGGATTTGACTATTTTTAGGCGGACTGAGATGTCTCATTCTGTAGTCTACCCTGGCCTTGAACTTTCAGTAATCCTCCTGTCTCCACCTCTGAAGAGCTGAGACCATAGACCCGCACACTGGGCCCAGCCAGCACACAATTTCTCCCCCACAGTTGGATTTACGTGGTCTGAAAGGAGCTCAAGCACAGGGATCCTTGGAGAGCCACATTCCAGGCACTTCTAGTGACTGAGAACCCATGTCAGAGAACAAGAGATGGCACAGCAGGCTGGAGTCCAGGAGTCAGCTTCCTAACTCTCCAGGACCAGAATTCTTGTCAGGAAGCTAGGAACGTCCTCACTGTGGTGCTGTCTTCTCCTACCCTGAGCCCTCAGACAAACGCCCCCTTGCTGTGTCCTCCCACCTGGGGGACATAAAGAAAACAAGGATGGTGACTTGGAGCCTCCTGACAAGTGGCTCTGCCTGCCTGGTCACTTTTCCCCTTGCTCAGCATTTACTCAACAACCAGCAGATGGTGCAGAAAATGCGCCGGCCGGGCCCTAATCTGGCTCTAAGAGCAGGCTTGGCATGTGACTGCCGGAGAGACAGGGCAGCACACTCAAAAGGGACCAGAGATAAGATCTCCATCTGAGACACAGTTTTCCAAATGACACTGCCTTACCTCACATTTGCATCTTGCAGGAACCACCCATTTCTACTCAATTACAAAACCCGTGTGTCATGAAGCCGATGGCCTGGACTGGTTCTAGAGTTTAAAGGCAGCACCAGAAGAGCCACACCCATTACTCCTGGACTAGAAAATATGCTGACCCACAGGACCACTAAGAAGGCACCAAGGGGCTGGAGAGATGGCTCAGTGGTTAAGAGCATTGACTGCTCTTCCAGAGGTCCTGAGTTCAATTCCCAGCAACCATATGGTGGCTCACAACCACCAGTAATAAGAGCTGGTGCCAACTTCTGTCTGCAGGGACACATGCAGGCAGACCATTGTATACATAATAAATCTTTAAAAAAAAAAAAAAGAAGGCTCCAAGCAGAGACCCTATATATATATATAGTACTATATAAACATACATACTCCGTTATATATTCCATCTGATTGAAGGAGGGGAAGCAGGGTCTCATGCTGTTGCTCGGGCTATGCTAGAACTCACAGCAATCTTCCTGGCTTAGTTACCCAGGTTCTAAGATTACAGGTACGATCCACCACACCTGACATGTCTGGTATCTTTCCTCCTCTCCCCTTTAGCTTCCTTCAGACTCCCTACAAGGGCTCATATACTTCAGGGTGGCCCCAAACTTACTATGTAGCTGAGGCTGGCCTAGAACCCCTGACCCAACGGCCTCCACTCAACAAGTACCAGGATTTCAGGTGTGCACAAACACATCTGGTATTTGTTAGGCAAAACTATTTCTTCCATATTTTCAGTCAGCAGTTTCTACGATACCAGGACAACTCTGCCCCGGCTAGTCAGACCCCTGACCTGCACCCCAACAAGCACACGTTTCTTTTCATCAAAACATTTTGAAAACAGAGCAACTGTTCAAAGGCACAGTATGCCTGCTTGCACGGGCCTCCGCCACAAAGAAGATACTTAAATCACTCCCACCAGGTGACAGTTAGAGCTTGCCCCCTGGACAGGGCCCTTGTGAAAATGGACATTTTAGTGCCTGGAAAGCTAAAGGGAACTGGAGAAGGCAAGGATAACGCCGCAGTGTCATTAAAGCCTTGGAGAAGTACGTGGCTCGGTATTTGTAAAGCCTCCTGCAATCACTGTGTTTTCACTAAGTAAAGACACAGCCACAGGAGCCCTCGTGCAATCCTTTAGCTTATTATCTCCAGGTCTCATAAAACGAAGCTGGTGAGCCTGTAAAAAGAGCCCAGGTTCAATTTTATGACTTATTTCTTGGGGCTTCTCCGCTGAGCTCAGACAGCAAGCCAAAAACCTCCTGCAGCTGGGGAGCTGGGCGTGCCACCAGACGGCCCTGGTGAAGCAATCCTGTGGAATGAGTTACTAATTCACAGTACAGTAGGGCTCCTAATCCCAAAGGTTCAAAACATCTCATCAAAACCAAGCCCGCCCCACCATTACTCCCAATAGGCCGCGTCTGGCCCCAAAGTGGGGTCAAGACTCAAATGGCCTACCAGACTAAGGGGTGTCTAAAGACGAGCAAGGGAGACAAGGGAAACTAGAGTTCAGGCACCCCTTGCATCAGCACCCAACACGATGTGCACGGAAGACTCCCGGTACCCGGTGAGTCCTCCCTACTTTCAGAATAGAGTGGGGTCACCTGCAAGTAGGATCTGAAGATAGAATGGTCCCAGGACCCGCGCCTCGCCACCACCCTCTCCACCTGTCCCCGCCTGAAGGATGGAAGACGACCCCAGCAGATGAGCGACTCTCTCGGGACTCACCTGGGTGAAGTATAAGTTCATAAGCGTGAGGGTGAAGAACTGCAGACACACGGGGAAGCAGTAGAGCAGCCAGAAGACGAAAGGGCTGAACGAGTTGGCCGCCACGAAGTCTCGGAAGTAAAAGGAGAAAAGCACAGTACGCAGCGAGGCCCAGAAGAGGCAGAGGAAGAGGAAGACGCTCTGGTAGCTGAGTCGTTTGTGGCGGTAGCGCAGCACCAGCCAGAGCTGCGCGTAGATGAACACGAAGAGGAGAGCGTAGAAGGCGGTGTAGACCGCAGTCAGGCCAAGCTTCACATAGGGCGGCACGGCCGGGCTCAGCGTGGGTGGCAGCGAGTCGTTGCGCACCGGCTCCCACGGAGGCGCCTCCATCGGGCTGGGGCCGCTCGGGCTTCATCGGGGCTCGCAGCCGTCCGCTCCCGGGTACCCGTGCATCGCGCCGCACCCGCCGCTCCAGAGCCCAGCCGGGAAAACAAGCCGCACTTCCTCCCGCCGCACCACATGATCTGCTGGGCGGCCTTTGTCTGCGATTGGCAGCGCCGCGCCCCCAGGAGCGCGCGCCCGCACCCGGCCCGCCCATCCCGGTCCCGCGCGCCCCTGGTGCGCGCGTCCCGGGGACAGCGGCCTGAGAGCTGAAGCCGGGTCGGTATTCGCGTACCAAGGACCCTTGTGACTGTGCTCACCCACGGCCAAGACTAGGGGTGATCCGTACGCGGGTGCACTACGCCTCCTAACTTGGGTTCACACGCCTCTCAGGACCCCAACCCTGGGGTTAGAGAAAAATCTGTGACCCCGATCCGTGTGCTCCCCATTATCCCGTGGCTGGGTCTGGGGATGGGACTAGGGAACATCCATAACTGGGATCCGTGTGTTCCCCCAATCCCATCGATGGCGCTAGAGAGCATCCGCGTGCCTCCGCACTGTGCGCCGTGCGCCCCCTTATAGCACGCACCCCTGATCAGTGCATCTCTTTGACTTCTCGTGCCTTCTGATAACGAAGGAAATCTGTGTCCCCGACCTGAGCATCTGCCCTCTCACACACGCCACTGACCCCACCACGAGTTTGCGCGCTCCAGACGTGGGAGTCCAGCGCCGGTGTTTCGTTGGAGGTGTGTCTTGGGGGCGTGTCTGCTCTCTTGACCTCGCGTTTTCTGCTGATGCCTGGTTTTGCAGTTCACTCTTTTATTTAAAAACCAAACCACTTTACAAGTTCCTTCTCCCGTGCACCCACGCGGTCACCCGCCTTTTAAAAATAAAATTGTGACCTCGAACTGGCCAGCTTCTGCGACGCTGCTGAAGTCTAAATGCAAATGGTCAAAAGGCTGGACTTTCCCGCCGGTTTGTGCTGGTAGCTACTGGTTTTAGTCCTAGCTGTACAGTGTTCTCGGAACACCTAGCTGCACGCCCTAGTGCGGCTGCGCTTTTGTCAGCGCAGAGGAGCAGCAAGGACTAGGTGAGACTAGCGCAATCGGATCCACCCAGATACCCTGTCCTTCCTCTCCGCTGCTGCTGCTCAGAGGTTTTCTGTCTCAGGTGAAGCTGACTGTTTATCCCAACCCTGTGCCACACTACTTTATAGTGGTAGTGTTGGAGTCGATGACTTCTAAGCTCTCAAGAAACCAAGTTGCAAGAGTGCAGGCGTATCTAGGTGAGCAATTAGAATAAGCAGAAGGAAAGAGCAGATTTTCCAAGAGACAGCTCCGTCTCTCCTGATTCCCTTTCTCATGTTTGACCAATATTCAATTTCATTCCCAATTGTATGTTCTTTTAGCTCAAAAATCCAGAAACAACAGGAAGCTGGCTTTTCCTCAAAATTGCGATTTACACACACGCTCCAACTAAACAAGGTCAGTGTGCCTTATCTGATTCTAATGTTCCCCGGTAGGTGCCCAGCTGGTCTGCCTGCTTCTGACTTGATCCACTCCAGTGGGTTCCGCACAGCACAGCTGCCTCCAGCTTTCTAAAGATCACACCTGCCTGTCATTCTCAAGCTTGAGGCTCCTTAACTGCACGTGCACCTTCTCAGGACTGATAGCCCCTCGCTTACCGAACTCCCGAGGAAGGGCAAACAGTACCAACACCTGCCAACACCCTGGGCAAGACAAGACAACGCTTTCATGCCTTCCTCAATCTCTGGCCCAATCGTTTCACCTATCTGTATGGAACATTTGCTCCAGAAACTGTTTTCAAGACAAGGTCTTGATTTGTAGCTCAGGCTATCCTGGAACTCACTGGGCTTTGAGCTAAAAACCGCCCTGCAGCACCAATGCATTGAGTAGACAACATCTATCACGTGCCGGTCATCTAGGCTAAATGCTCTGTGTCTTTCCAGAACACCCCTGCCTAATTATCAGTCATCGTGACATCTGCGTAAGTTTCCTTGGGATAGAAACAGTGTCTTGTTTACCATTGGCTCCCTTGGCCCGTTGTAAAAACAACCCTCTCTTTTATTATACTGAAGGAACATAATTTGTCCTTAGAAAACAACCTTTAACATTTGTCCTGCACTGTGCAGACTACCTCTTGATCCAAGGTGGCTGCTTGCTCTCCAAGGATTGTGACCATACCCATGCAGGCATCAGAAAGAGAGGACTGAAGAGCATTTGACCTCTCTGGTTTATGGAGCCATCCCAGAAATTATGTACATGCATCTGATTTCTGCTCGGTAGAATTGGATTGCCTTAGTAGGTGAGCTGCAGAAGAGGCTGAGAGATAGTGTTCATTCTATACGGTGCTCTACAGCTCTGAAAGTCATACCTTCAATACTCTGGATGAAGGGAGAATGAACTGAGAGAGGAACAATCCATCTACGCCACATGTTCAAAAGGATGTCAACAATAGCTAGGCATGGGGTGACACTTAATATTGGCTGTTGACTGGACAGGATCCCCAGTTACCTAGGCAACATACTTCTGGGCGTGTCTGTGAAGAAGGTACTGGATTGAGTAAACTGGGTTGGAAAGACTCATCCTAAACATGAATGGCACCATTCTATGAGCTGGAGGCATAGGCTGTGTAAAAAGGAAGAAAGCAGGCTGAACACCAGCATTTCTGCTCCTGGACTATAGATACAGTGTGATCAAACATTTCACATTCCTTCTACTGTGCCTTCTCCAACTTGGTAGTCTGTATCCTCAAACTGTGTGTCCAGGCAAACCCCTCTTTAAATGGTTTTCATCAGGTATTTTTTTCACAGCACCTAGAGAAGTAACTAACCAGATGGTTGCTTTTATTAAGTACTAAGATGTCCATCACTAGTTGGTCCTGTTTTAAAAAAAAAAAAAAAGTAGAAAAAAAAACTGGAAAAGTATGATTACTTCAAACAGAGAGAAACTTACCTTTGACATGGCAAGGAAAAAATAAAGCAAAAGTTCAAGTCCTTGTTATGCAGATGGTCTTAAAACTAGGGATGGTGCCGGGCAATGGTGGCTCACGCCTTTAATCCCAGCACTCAGGAGGCAGAGGCAAGCAGATCTCTGTGAGTTCGAGACCAGCCTGGTCTACAGAGCTAGTTCCAGGACAGGCTCCAAAAAAGCCACAGAGAAACCCTGTCTCTAAAAACCAAAAAAAAAAAAAAAAAAAAAAATAGGGATGGTGTTAGTGACTCCTCACTTTGAGGTACACTGTATAATCTCCATTTCTTTTTTTATTTTATTTTGTGTGTTGTGGATAAAACCCAGGGTGTGGTGAGTACTAGGAAAGTGCTCTAACTTTGACCACAGCTACCGTCCTCCCTTTCTCTCTATCAGGTCCCTTATCAGGGGGAATCCTCATGAGGGTCTTAGCTTGTGAGTGTTTGCCCTAGGGTCTGCCTCTAGAGGGAGGTCACATTCCCAAGGCTGGATGCCATCCATTCACCTCCTTTCACTCATGACATGAGCACAACCCTTAATCATCACTAGCATCAGAGCAAAATGGTCACCATAGTAACGATTGTCATCATAGTCATTACTATCACCACAATCCATACTGTCATCCTAACCATTACCATCTCCATAGCTGTCACGGTCATCACAGCCTTCACCCTCATCTTAGTCACCACTGCCATCATCATAGCAGTACTCAAACCACAGTCAATGCCATCACCATAGCCTTCAAAGTCAACACAGTCATCACCAGCATATCCCACGATCATAATCACAGCCATTACAACCATCATAGTCACCACAGCTGTCACAGCCATCACAGCAACCACAGCCACCACAGCCATCACAGTCATCAGTCACCACAGCCATTTTTATAACCATCACAACCATCACAGCCACCACATTCACCACAGTCATCACAGCCACCACAGCCACCAGAGTCACCACAGTCACCACAACCATCACAGCCATCACAGTCACCACAGCCATCACAGTCACCACAGCCATCACAGTCATCACAGCCATCACAGTCACCACAGCCATCACAGTCACCACAGCCATCACAGTCACCACAGCCATCACAGTCACCACAGCCATCACAGTCACCACAGCCATCACAGTCACCACAGCCATCACAGTCACCACAGCCATCACAGTCACCACAGCCATCACAGTCACCACAGCCATCACAGTCACCACAGCCATCACAGTCACCACAGCCATCACAGTCACCACAGCCATCACAGTCACCACAGCCATCACAGTCACCACAGCCATCACAGTCACCACAGCCATCACAGTCACCACAGCCATCACAGTCACCACAGCCATCACAGTCACCACAGCCATCACAGTCACCACAGCCATCACAGTCACCACAGCCATCACAGTCATCAGTCATCACAGTCACAACAGCCATCACAGTCATCACAGCCATCACAGCCATCACAGTCACCACAGTCATCAGTCATCACAGTCATCACAGTCACCACAGTCATCAGTCACCACAGCCATCACAGTCATCACAGCCATCACAGTCATCACAGCCATCACAGTCATCACAGCCATCACAGCCATCACAGTCATCACAGTCATCACAGACATCAGTCATCACAGCCATCAGTCATCACAGTCATCACAGCCATCAGTCATCACAGTCATCACAGCCATCACAGCCATCACAGCCATCACAGTCACCACAGCCATCACAGTCATCACAGCCATCACAGTCACCACAGCCATCACAGCCATCACAGCCATCACAGTCATCACAGTCATCACAGCCATCAGTCATCACAGTCATCACAGCCATCACAGTCATCACAGTCATCACAGCCATCAGTCATCACAGTCATCACAGCCATCACAGCCATCACAGTCATCACAGTCATCACAGACATCAGTCATCACAGCCATCAGTCATCACAGTCATCACAGTCATCAGTCATCACACTCATCACAGTCATCACAGCCACCACAGTCATCACACTCATCACAGCCACCACAGTCATCACAGACACAACAGTCAGTCCTCATAGCCACCACAGTCAGATCGGATCAGATCATAATGGCCAGTGGCATTGTCTGTGAGCAATTGTCTTCAGTGAGGATGTAAGAGGGCCCAGTGGTACTATCC